TTTTATTGCTAAAAAGTTTCGCATGAATGACGATTGTACATTTCAACTCAAACTCGGGACATAGTAATACCTGTCAGAAGTTAAAGTTTCATACACATGGCAAATACAAAAATTATTTCATAAGTTCAACACTCAATTATTCGTATTATTAATAATATAATTAGACATACAATTATTCAAGCATAACAAACCGTCTTTTAAAATTCTATAATAATTTAAATCAACTTTAATTGATCTGAATTGAAGTATTCAGTCTAGTAAAAAGAGTCCGATCTAGAAAAAAACTCTGATTTAGTCTGAAGTTCATGATCTGGCCCAAAAATTACGATGCAGCCCAAAAATCATGACCCAGCTTAAAAATCATGATGCAGAGAAACGATCATTACCTAATCTAAAGATGATGATTTAGCCCAAAGATCACGATCTAACCAATATCTACAAAGCTGTGTTGCGTCTCCAACATGGAATTTCGTCCGTAACTCTTGATATTTTTCTTTCGTTCACTTTGTATTCCTCAAGTTTGTTGTCCGGAGGCCAACGGCGACTTAACGACCTGTACTGAAGTTTTTGCCTCAAAGATTGCAAGCTAATGCAAGGCATTCTAGTGTCGGCGAGGTTGTTTGCAGCATCAATGGGAGAGCAGGATGTTGTACTTGACATGTGATAAACATTGCGTAGCGATTTTTTGCAAACTTTTGAATAATTATTTTTCATGGCATTGAGGCCGAAGATAAGTATCATGTGTTGGGTTATTAGTTTGATAATCTCTTTTTATGCATAAGTGAATTTTAAGAAGTTCAGCTTTAAATATGCTAACTGTAGCCTAGAGTTTTTAATTATTAAATGAAAATAAAATATAGTCTTGCCACTTTTTGAGTTCTGTCGCATGTCCAGTGCGACAAACATATTGAAATTAACAGTAATACATTTTTTCAAAAATTTATTCAAAACGAGCTCGCCCAGAAGTACCGTGAGCATGATTATTGGGGACATCAATGTATATGTGCAAATTGATTATAAAAATTTGATCGCAAAGTGCTTGAAGCTCTAAAGCATATTAACCCATTAATGCCGAGAATTATTTTCAGAAATTTTTTTGGGTTCCTGGCGAGAATATTATCATTTGTGATGGTAATAAACAAAAAATATGTTCATTTATTTATTTTTCGTTGTATGTGAAAAATTATACCTTGGTTCCATGTGGAACCGCTCGGCATTAACATAACGTTTCTTCAAACAACACTTTTTCCAATAGTAAATCAAGCAAGGTTTTTCGTAATGGATATTACGTAATATACGTACGTATTCATAATGGACAATACTGATGATAAACTAATCATGCTAGAATACAATTTAATTTTTAGCATGGAATACTTCCATTCATTCAGAATGAATGAGAATGTTGCCCATTTTACGAATGTTTGTGGGCGCGTTGTCCACGTTGTTTGCATATGCAGTGCTTCTGATGTCTCTTTGCTGGCCGATGTTGTTGATTGCTGTATTGCAATTCATCAAGGATCGAAGTAGAAGGGTGCAATATAGACCCTGATTGTTTTATTTTGGGTCTCTTGCATTATTGCTTTTCCTAACCGATCATTCCGAAAATTCATTACAATAGCCATTTTTTAAGTTTTTTGAGAAGCTAAATTAAACCAGGATAGATATCACATATAATATGTTGACTGGGACCAATTGTATCATGTTTACGGGACCCATTCATGTTCCAGCCCATGAATAAGTTTCTTTTTCTATTAGATCCGCCGATTGGCTTCAATTGCAGAAAAATATCATCTGATTTACCTGCTGCCAAAAGTTTATAACTAAATGTCACGGGCTAGCCACGTATATGTCGTAGCATAAGTTGGCCATGTCGACCACAGTTGAGTTTTTTCTCTGTCGATAGACATTGTTTTCACATATGGTGATTACTGTTGCTACAATGACTATTCTCGATAGGCGAGCGGAATTGCTAGTGACTGCGTCATCTGAGTTATCTGAATCTCAGTCTGTTTCGTTTGTTGCTGCTTCTGTGAAAGGTTTAGTAGCAAATATTTGATCTTCGTGTAATTCTTCTCTTGAAATCTCAATTATTTCATGTCATGATCTGCCAAAAATACAATTAGAAAAAAGTGACTCGGGATGAAAAATCGCATAATCTTCAACGTTTCTACTTCCTAATATTTCAACTTTCGGGTTATATGCTCCTGTTGATCTAAGGTCTAAATAAATAACTTCTAAATACAAACAAATTTTTGAAATACAATGCATAACTATATCACAAAGTAATCAACCGGGAAAATGAGATGACCGGAATGCTTACACTACTGCCGAGCGGTCCCAAATGAACCAGGCAAAATATTTCATGATCTGAATGACTTTACAAACATTATATCATGTGACACCATATACAGAATTGAAAATACTCTCTTTATCGATAAAATTCTGTATCTAACATGTAAATAATATATTTTTAGAATGAACTACTTACCTTTCTTAACATTAATGTCAAGCCCTCCTGTCCGACACCCGGTACTTACGATTTTTTAATGTTAACTGAGCAGGAATTAGTTGGTACAGCAGAACCAAACGTTGCCAGAACACGTCCAAAATGTGTATCAAACCTACGCATCCACTAGTATACTGATTTGACCATACAATTTTATTATGAATCTATTTTTTCCGCTGGTTCCAAATGGAATCGCTCTGTATTAATGGGTTAAGAAAAACTCTAATCTGAAATAGATTTAAATCCTCTGATAATTATATTAACATCTCAAATCTACCAGTGAATTATGTTACAAGAACCTACTTACTACAACAATGAATTTATTCTTCATAACACTAATCTCTATGTTTACCATTCCACGACATAGTTTTGGCAGTAAATATAAAACCCGTCCTCATTAATTGATCGACCTAAAATTGTACGTAGACGCAAATAACCGGTGTAGATGAAGATAGGCACTCACCTTATTATCTATGGGTCCTAAACTGTGTGAATATTTGTCTGTGTTACTCAAGTAATGAATGATAAAAAATTCAGATCGGGATACTTGTGTTCGTAAATGGTATTCAGCACGGACAGTTAATCAGAAAAGAGATCAGGCTCGCATGTAAGGCTGATAGTTACGACCGAGGAGGCCAGCGTTCATGCTAATGGCCGATGCTCGAACACGCTGCACAAGGTCGCTACTTCTTGCTATAAATTCAAGTGCCACGCTACTTCCAGCAACCGATTCCTGTATTGTTCTGATGAATTTAAGTTTTCGTGAGAAATTATTGTATTTCGCATTAAATTTACATTTTTAGCGCATTTTCTCATTTATGGAAAACAGGCGCTAATGTACTCGCTATGTCCGTCCGTCCGTCTGTCCGTCTGTCAGTCTGTCCGTCCGTGACATAACGTTTTTGTCGACGAGAAAATGCGCTCTCTTTCACTCACTTCAGTGAGCACTGAGTTATATTTTTGAAATGTCTATTTGCTCTCCGACGATTGCTTTCGATGCTTCGACGATTGTTCCGAACGGACAGATTTGGAGAAACTCAAATGCTTCTTGAATTTACAAAACATCCCAATTATCCAGCCATATTAGGCTGCCATTTTCTGGTACCCTATCGGATTTTGCAAAAAATACCGTGATATTTAGGGTAAATTCTAACAAATATCTTAGTTTTTGTCCAAGCACGCAAATGCTGAAGCTGAATGCCAACGACCAATATGTTTTCATACCACACTCCACGACGTTCGTGGAACTAATATTCCTCTACATTCTTCTTGCTCACAACTTATAACTTTTCCGGACGGGAGGCTTATAGTAAAAGTAAGACTTCATCATGTATTGTGGGCTGATTCATGCGAAGCTTCGGTTAACTTATCACATTCTTTAGGGAGGAAAATGTCAACGAACTATGCCCGTTGAGTATGAGATTCCAGGGGGCCATATCAGGCCTACGGCAGAAGAAGGCGGCAAAATTGACAACTATTCGACGCTCGAAGCAAGATCTTCAGTGATTGCCATCACATAACCTGGTATTATTTATTATTTAGCATTATAAACGCAGCAAACATTCGTTAAAGTTATTGCCGAAATATTCTCTATAAGTACATAACCTTGGGTGATGATTGACGAACAAAAACATTTGCTTCCGTCACTGAAGAAACCGTAATTTTTTATTGGTTTCACTCATACCCGCAGAGAAGACAACAATAATCATTGCCCGCTATATTAGTTTTTTCTAAGTTCGGTTAATCAAACTAAATTAGTTTTATTACGTTTTCTTGAGAACACCCAGAATTCCAAGATAAATTTTTTAAATCAAGATTTCACATTCTACAAGCCAGCGGATGAAGCCAATGCGCATGTAAATTCTTAATATAAAAATCGTATAGTACATAAATCGAGGTAATGCAGATGCGACATTCCGATGCAGGACCTCCGTGAGCCTGTGACGCAAATGGAACTTCGATGTCAGCAGCGACAGACAGAATCTCGCCATCGACATCGGTCGATACTACTCACTGCAACCGAAAGTGTGCAGTCACGTGGATGAGTTTCCAATAATAATATAATCCATCTATAACAAAGTGTGAAAACACTTTCTTGAGACTGTCATTTCATTGTTGGGAATGCCGGTTATTCAATTTGTTCTTAAACGATTTACGTACGTGTTTTAGTAATTAGTATAATAACACTATTTTCTTTAAACTACATTAATGTAGTGCATTGAAATAAACTTGATCAATTGACATTTAATCAGTGCCTCAGATCTAAACTAAATAGACTTTTTTCTTGCCTAGTAAATTAAATGTTGGCTTTAACTACCGTAGACTAATGTCGTGATGAACTCTGAAAAAACGGTATGCTTTGGATAACTTAACGAAAAGTTTTTTTACGGAAGAAATTAACCAGGCTGATTAAGCGGTCTCTACTAGGAGATTAGCGGTCTCCACTAATATATTAGCAGTCTCCACTAGTATATTAGCAGTCTCCACTAGTATATTAGCGGTCTCCACTAACGTATGCGTCCCAAGCAGCGTCGTCATCCTTCACTGCCGAAGACGGAAGAATTATATCCAGGGTAAGATTAGCATGGCTGGTATTCAGGGTAAGATTAGGATGGCTGATATCCAGGGTAAGATTAGGATGGCTGTCATCCAGGGTAATATTAGGATGGCTGGCATCCAGGGTAAGATTAGCATGGCTGGTATTCAGGGTAAGATTAGGATGGCTGGCATCCAGGGTAAGATTAGCATGGCTGGTATCCAGGGTAAGATTAGGATGGCTGGCATCCAGGGTAAGATTAGGATGGCTGGTATCCAGGGTAAGATTAGGATGGCTGGTATCCAACCAGGATACGCAGCCCCTCCAGGATAAGATGGTGCACTAGGATAAGATGGTGCACTTGGATAAGCCGGACCACTAGGATACAGAACCCCCCCATCAGGATAGGCTGGACTACTAGGATATGCAGGACCGCTAGGATAGTAAACCACATCAGGATAAGCTGGACTACTAGGATATGCAGGGCCACTAGGATAAGCTGGACCATACGCGGGGCCACTAGGATAGGCAGGAGCACTAGGATAAACGGGCCCACTAGGATACGCAGGATACGGTGCGGCCCCTGAATAGGATGGATCCACTGGACCAGTTCCCTGCGGGTAGTAAGTGCAGTCGCTGGGGTAATAGCACACCGTCGGGGAGGGACAGGTCACGGGTTGTCCACACTCGATTACCGACGGGGAGGGCGGGGTGCAAGGGTATGTTGGGGTACTGGGGTATGAGGTGGCGGGTATTCCAGGTACCCCAGGATCCCCTGGGTATCCTGGTTTGCCAGGGGCGCTGGTACCGGGCTCCCCACGCTCTCCTCTCATCCCCTTGTCCCCTTTGATGCAGTCTCCGATCGGTCCCTTTATTCCCGGAACCCCTGATGAATATGGAAATAAAATTTTAGCGTCACTAATCACTTAATAGATTGAGTTTGTATGTAGAAAATTGTAAGAAAATTAAACGAATTAGTCACGCTTTCTTTATCACCAAACAACATGTTTTTCGAATTTCGTGTGCTTCAAAGCTTTTTCTGAATCACAGACTCGCAAGCGAATACAAATGAGTTGAAATTTTCGCTTACAAAACATTACTATTTGCATAAATCAACGACTAACAAAGCATTGTGTAGCGCAAATAGTACAAACAAATCGTAATACTTTTTTTAACAAAAAATTCGCAATAAAGCCAGCTAATTTTTGTTGGAATTTTTTTTTTTGTTAAATTTTGACTGAATTTTCACAGAAATTCGCACTAAAAGCAAGCTAAATTGTTTTAGAATTGTCTTTGTAGTCAAATTTTGACCGAATTTTCAAGCCCGCTCGCTCACCTCTGGGCCCCGGCGGTCCGCGTGGACCGGGCACGCCTCTCATGTTCGCCACGACGTCCGCCCCAGGCGGCCCGTTCTCGCCGGTCTCGCCGGGTAGACCGCGGTCCCCGGGCATGCCTGGTGGCCCTTGTGGTCCTGTTTTGCCTGAAGCCAAAAACGGAAATATTATTGTCACCATCTCGTCACAATTACAGTGTCTAATAATGTATGCTCGTCACAATTACAGTATCTAATAATGTATGCTCGTCACAATTACAATATCTATTTAATGAATGCTTGAAACGTTTAAGATTAAATATGGATTTATTACAATTTACTCCTCATTTGAGTGATGCAAAGAGTAATTAATTTAATATATTTTCCTGTAAACGCATAAATTGCAACGCGTTGAGAAATTAGAAGGGATTATGTATAGTAAGTCATTTTATGACTTAGTCTTCCTTTCAAGAGGATTTAAAATTTATTCACATCCACGAATAATTTTAATATATTCAGATTAGAAAACGAGTCATTTTTCAAAAGGCTGGGTTGAAACGTTGATTATTTCAAATAAAAAATTGCTGAGATTCACCTCATTTACAAGGTAAAGCAAAAGTTTTACCGTCGTTGATATCTCTGTGGCACAAGTTAAAAAAAAATAGCCTAAGGCCGCAGATGCGGCGTTCTCTGAGCTGGAACTCATCAACAATGGTCTACAAGCTCAAATGCTTTCGGATGCACAAGGCAACTTTCCTGAAACAACTCCATCGTCGTCTTTCATCTATAAAGGTTTATGACAGCGATTCGGCGATTCGAAAAGTTTGGTCAGCTCACATAAAGTTCGCTCTCTGAGATTTTCTTTTGCAGGTGCAGAACAAAGGACTTGTTCTCATTCAGTGTCTCCGTGCGAAGTTATATTAAAGGAGCTCGATATTTAGAAAGTATAATGGGCGTCTCTGATTCGGAGACTCCGCTGTCTTCAGTGCACTCTTGTCCGGAAAGTAAAGGTACGACCCGTTACTTCTACTTTTTTATTGAAACGAAATTTTTTGAATGATAAAAAAGATGGAAAACAATAATATATTACATTAAAGCATGTTAGTTTCATTCCTGAATTTAAACAAACAGCTCAGTTAGCGATTAAATTACCTGTGTATCGTATGTAAGAAAATGTAATTAACACATTATTAATTCAATATCTTCATGCATTTAAATCAAAACTTCTTTAATTGTTGCGTACTGATATGGAAAGCTTCGGCAACGTTAATTTTGATTATTCGTTAGTGAAATTTCATCGCATATGGGAGAGTTTCATATTTTTCTAAAAAATCTATTATTAGATTAATGAGAATTTTGCAAATGAATATTCAACAATTGTATCATCTTTCTGGTCTTCGAGTAGTTGATAGGTATTACAAGGTTCAAAATTAATATCGAGGATCGAATTTCGGACATTTTGATATTGTAGATTTTTTTGCATTCACGCTCGAGTTCATTCCTTTCTGGAACCTGATTAATATACTTTCAATTATTTTATTCTACAAATTTCCCACGAATCACTCAAAAAAATTAGGAAAAAAATTTTAATCTCAAAAATGGGCAAACTCTCTCTTCCTCCTTCCTCCCACTAAAAAATCCTGTCGTCTGGAGTTCACTCGTTTTCGAGTTTTCATTATTTTCGTGGCATTGTCCTTTTAATTCGTTTTTTTATAGGCTCGGGACTCCAAGTTGGTCAAATGGTGGCGGATTTGAAAGAGCGATTTTTTGCCAATTAGAACATTTCTGTAACGTCAATCGGCACGTTTCTCGCTCTCGAGAGTTGCATATTTTCCCGCAATGTTGGTAAGTTATTGAAGTTTCAACAATCGAGTTGCAAGTCAAAGTTTGGTGATTAGATGACACCCACTGTGCCTCGGCAAATAAACATACCACACTTCATGTTCCAATCAAATCAACATTGTGTTTCAGCTCAAGTAATTTTCGTTCTTATCTAATCGAACGTCTTATTAATGCGGCTCAGATATGAATTAGATTCGTTCATATTAGATTGGAGTGGTATGGTTGCTGCAACTTTTTAATGCCCGGCTTCAAATCCTGGATTAACCAAACTTTTTTAAGCTCGAATCCAATCACCGTAGATCTTGCACTAATTTCACGAATGTTCACTAGAAAAATAAAATGCTATTGATGTATTTGTAACCTCACCTTCACTGAGCAGTTGTCCTAGGTTTTTGATGCTGGCCGAGACTAGATCGAGTTTTCGTTCAATCCCGACGAGATGATGAACTTCGTTTTCAAAATCAGTCACTTTGCGGGAAACGGCGGCCAGAGCAGCGCACGAACACTGCGAGTTGCCCTGTGTGGTTCAAACTTCATAATATATCGTTTTTCAATAATATGTATCGCAAGATATCTCAGAAACTTATGAATTTTACTTTCATGTTACCCAAACTGGTAAAACTCTCTACATTCAATGACAAAAGTGGACCGCTTATCGTACAAATGCTATCAAAGTTTAGAGCCTCTCGCTCCTGCTTCTGTCGTTCTACATTCAATGATTAATCTAAATAAGATATTAATCTTCCCTTCGGTTGTGTCAGTAATATTATTAGTTTTTTTGATCACGATTCAGTCGATTATGTATCGTCTAGGTTTAAGATTCTAAATTAATTACATATAAATATTTAGGATTAGAATTAAATTTAAAATTTTTGATTTATGTCTGTTGGTGCGCCTTGAACACAACAGTAGTCAACCTCACTCCGACCTCTAATATATCTGTTAATTGCACAAGAACCTTGTACTCGAGTGAATCCTCTGGAACATAGTAACTAGTATTTAGTAATCTGATATCGCAAACGAAATTTATTTCAGTAATACATTTATAATGTGTATTTCAATTTGGAGTTATACTTTTAGCAGTGTATGGCATGTTTCCTCAGCGTTCAATACTCAGACGGAAGTAATTGGGAAAAGCAACTTTCTTTCTTTTCTCAAATTATGTTAGCCTGGAAATAAACCCGATACGTTTTAAGTGCAGTATCATCCAAATACCTGAAAACTAGGTAAAAAAAACTCACCCCAATGAGAAGCTTACCTGAAATCTCTGTAAAAAACTCACCCCTATGAGACGCTTGTACCGCTCCTTTGTTGTCTCTTCGCTTTCTCCCCCATCCTCAGGAAGGAGGTCCTCGATGTCAGCTTGACCTCCTCCTTTTCTCTGTAGATCCTGCAGCCTCAGCAAGCTGCTCCTGAGCTGACTCAGCTCCTTCAGCGCTGCGCTCGAGTCCAGCTCAACTGACGGATTCAGTATCCGCTAATCAGTCCCATGAGTCGGGGTCATTGGGTGCAGCAGTTTGAAATGTCTAACCTAATCAGTGTCGTGTTATGAGGTCATTGGGTGCAGCAATTTCGAATGTCTAACCTAATCAGTGTCGTGTTATGGGGTCATTGGATCCAGCAGTTTGAAACTTCTAAATCTATTAATAACAATAATCCATATTCTTGAATCGTTGGTTCATTTTTGAACTCGAACAATCAAATTATTTCAGCATTTATATGAGGTTTCAGGGTTATAATTCAGGATTACCTAATAATTTTCTAGAAGTTTTCTATCTGTGAGGACCAATCAATGAGCATAAATCTTACATTTCTAATCCTCCTACTCTTCTATCAGATCAAAGCTCACATTTATTAAAAGGAAAATTAAGGTCCGCAATGTTTCAAAAAACCCTAACTTTGAGCAACTTACCTGTCTTCGAACTTTTTGTAAATCAACAAAAGTAACAAATAAATTGGCTGCATTACTTTACAAAGTGAAATGCTGTACTCACTTAATAAATTAAGCTCCGAAAATATCGTCATTAATTGTTCAAAACTCATACATTTTACTTATTATACACCAGACAAAACATCAAGTACATCATTTTTGCTCACGTAACTTTGCTGACGTCCTGTCTCTGAATGAGAAGCAGGAATGTTCATACATGGGCTCATGTGTGCGAAATAAAATAAATTTAGCAAAAAATTTATGTTAAACTTACCGTTGTCAACGACGGCCGACTCAACATCTATGAAGCAGATCACCACCAACATCAACATCGATGTCTTCCTTACAGCCGCCATCTGCAAAAATAAATTAAAATAAACGTGTTTGATTTGTTCGAATTACTTTAGTCATAAATTTGATGATAATAGGTGTAAATGAAATTGATGTTACTTAACTGCACTGCAAAAATTTTTTAATACGTTTACATGGTTTTTCTCTAATATATTTGCCACGAAATTCACGTTCCAACCTCAAAGAAGCATCATTTTAAAATACATTATTTTAAATGATTCACTCTCCTAAAATTAAAACATGCTCCTAAATTTGCACGTTAATTTCTAGCAAAAAAAATCTTCATATTCAAATGAATGAAAATAAACTCATTGACGCATAAGTTTCTTCCTAAAAAAAGGTGAAGAGCCAACTCCAGAACTCTATCGCAAACACACGCCAGTTAGATAACTTCCACGTTATATTTAAACCACATTAATTCAAGATAATTATCATCACTCCAGTTAGACAACTTCTACGGTATATTTAAACAAATATTGTATTAATTCAAGATAATCATCATCACTCGTACTTGAATATTGTCAGCTATCACGCCTCCCGCCCTGCATAGAGAGACTGAGCTCGTCACTGGCCACGACGCACAGACGCGCGTCCTAACTTCCTGACTCCTCGTCTGCCTCATGCTCCTCCTACGGCTCCCCTCTGCCAGGTTGTGCACGAATAGATACGAGATAATTATAGAATGCTATTACTGATGTAGGTATTACTTTATGAGACAAGTGAAATTAAGTGACAACGAAACTACGCGACAATGCTATTACTGATACAACACTGATACAACAACTGATACAACAACTGATACTGATACAACAGGCCATGGGCCTATTTCTTCAACGCCGACAATTCTATTCTATTCTATTACTTTATGAGACAGATGAAACTACGTGACAATACTATTACTGATGTATTACTTTATGAGACAAATGAAACTACGTGACAATGCTATTACTGATTTATTTGTTTGTGAGACAAATGAAACTACGTGACAATACTATTACTGATGTATTACTTTATGAGACAAATAAAACTACGAGACAGTTAGCGAGAGGATAGTCGTTAAAGTCTTGTCTAACTCGGGCTCTGACAGCTTTTACATTTTAAATATTCCAAAAAAGTCAGGTGCTTGATGTGACATCTAAATTCGACTTTTACACTGAGAAGCTAAAATTAGGATTACAATTAAAAATTTAATAAAAATCTAATGTTGTTTGGAATTCTTACTACTTGCGTTTGAAGAAAAAGTGCCAGAACTACCGAAATACAGGAACAATGATTTAATGTCAAAAAATTCTGGAACAAATTGTCATTTAATGTCAGAAAAAACTGCTACTGTATTACAAGGGAATTCGTTAGTAGAATTGTAAAATCAACGATCACATCCACCTTAAGAAACATCTGGAACATCGAAAATAACATTAGTTATTTATAAGTTAAGCTCGCAATACGAAAACACGAGGCCTATGTCACGACTGGGTTCCCGTATCTTGATGCATGAAGTGTTTACTAATCATCCACTGTGCAAAAAAAGATACGCCTACCTCTAGCTTTTTGGTCGATAATAAGGAACAATTTCGTGGGTGAAAATATTTCCGAATGGATACATATCCTACTGAATTAAAATGAGTGAAATGCTGAGATTGACTTAAATTTCTTACAGGCTTGTCTTTAAAGATAACNGTTTTAAACTGCTTATGTGTATCACATTAAATTTATATATTTCAGAGGAGTAAGGCATTCGAAAAGAAGTTACGGTTGATAGGCAGTATATGATATCAAAACAAGAATCGGGTCATCCGGTATGAATCGCCGCATTGCGGTACGAGCGACACCCTGAACGGTGCCCAGAATAAAGGATCTACTGAGAGTCTAGCGACCTTCGCTCAGCCCTCGGACTCCTTGTGAGGGTCTGACACAGAGGACCCTCTGTGGCATGATAAAATACAGCGGGCGTGAGGGGGCGTTGTAGCAACTGCATGAAATAAGCAACTTGTAGTTGTTTCACAGCGTCGATGTGAAACAAGGCAGACTTTGGCATAAAATAAGCAACTTGTTTGGTTTGTTTCACATCGTCGATGTGAAACAAGGCAGACTTTGGCATGAAATAAGTAACTTGTTTGGTTTGTTTCACTTCGTCGATGTGAAACAAGGCAGACATTGGCATAAAATAAGTAACTTGTTTGGTTTATTTCACAGCGTAGATGTGAAACAAGGCAGAATTTGGCATGAAATAAGTAACTTGTTAGGTCAACTCTTAGTTCGTCGATGTGAAACAAGGCAGACTTTTGCATGAAATAAGCAACTTGTTTGGTTTGTTTCACAGCGTAGATGTGAAACAAGGCTGAATTTGGCATGAAATAAGCAACTTGTTTGGTCAACTCTTAGTTCGTTGATGTGAAGGCAGACTTTGAGACGAAGAATACATTTTTACGGTGGTCATGATGAAATTGATCCTGACCCGTGTTTTTGTAATTAAAGTGTTAACTAACTACAGTTCAACGCAGGATATATAAAAAAGGGGGTAAAAATATGGCAGGGTAAGGAAGAGTATAAAAGGGGATTTTCAGTTTGAATTTTGCTTTTCCCTCAAAAAGCCAAAAAGATGTTAAATAAAGATCAGTGTACCAGCTGCACGAAATGCTTAATCTCAGATTATTAATGGAACTGAAGTAATTAAGGTAATATGCGTTAATATCTTCACGGCGTTATCCATTAATAGGTAAACTGCCAATTAAACATAAACAAAATCCCTTTTAAGTTGCAACTGATTAATTAAATTCAGATATTTCATCATGATCTATGAATTTTTCCCACTGTCAGACTTAAAAATAGTTAAATAAATAACTATTACGTACTATTTTTTTGTAAATTCCGTAATAAGGATTAGTAATTAGGGAACATTTATCTTCGATAAAGGAATCATTGCCTTTATTAAACAGTCAACTTAATGGCTATTAAATTAAATCTTATATGATACGAAAATACGCACATTTTAATTAAAGTATTTTATCATACAGTGCCTTTACTTCAAAAATACATTTCAAGGTAAATTAAATGATGAAAAATCTCCTTGATTTTGCCTGTTAACAAAATTTTGTTTTCGAAGTGCTTGCATGTATTACGAATAGTTACTTTTCAATCCTGGGACTTTGGGACTTACATTGCATTCTTCATACGTTGTGAACAGGACTACAAATTCTTACTATTGTTTATACTTACTTGATAAAGTATGCAAAAGTCGGAATAATTAAAATGACTTCCTTTGGTAGTATTAATTTAAATAGCATTTCGACATAGCGATTTGGATTTCAATTTTGAGTTGATGTCGATTCGAGAACTGCCGTTTGGATTGTAAACGTAAATCTTCACGATGTCGCAGTAGACAGTGCGATCCGACAACTGAGTAACACCGCTAAGTTGATTTCAACGCATTTGGTTTTTGTCCTTGAGATTTGATTTGAAAGTTGGTGGGAGATTGATTATAAGGGAATTGCGTACAAACAAATCACGCAATTTCGTAGATTTCTCAATTACTTTTCTGCGTAATTTATTTTTCTAGTTAATTTCGTGTTTCTGCTAGAAATTTGAACGAAGCTGTGCCGTCTAGGGTCTCAACAGGGCAGTGGTCGGTGAGTATCCAAGCGTTGAGAACCGCAGAGCAGACTTGCTCTGTGGCAAGACTTGCTGAACACCGCGCTGCTCAGTCGAGTACTTGACTGCTCCTTGCGGCGCGAGTGCTCGAGGTGCACCACCGAGAAATTGCCTTTATTGCCTCCCATTCATATGTAAATTGCAGCCCAATGGAAAATTTACACTGTGAGAATTTGAGAGGCCGTTTGATTGAGAGTTGAAGTTGAAGGTGCTCACGAGGCTGCTGCCAGAAGCTTGTAGTGCATTGTGATTGTCGTGGATCACTCGTAGAAAACTCGGCTGCTGTTTGGCAGTCATTATTTTATCAATAATGTGTGAAATGTTAGAAAATTTTATCTTTTCGGTTTGAATATTTATATGACTAGGACTCCACTCTACTAGTAAATAGATTTCCAATCATTGAATCATTCATTGTCAAGACTTGAAAATAAATTTGAATATTTTTAAGGCTATATTTGATTGCCATCTCATAAATCAATGCAAGAAAATAATTTCTAATTCAGTTCACGAAAAATTCAACAATTGATGAATGAATTTATCGAGATTAATAATTATTTAACCCACATTTCATTCGTACAATTACCCACATTCACGTACAACATTTTCGTACGTGTACAATTCTTTTACTATGTTATAGTCCTAAACAGTTTTTTAATGGTATTTGGAACCAAATTATTTTGTATGGTATTAGGGACCAAAGAACGAGAGGGTGGAGAAGTGCATTAATAAAAGAAAGGACAGGAGTATCCATTTATTCAAAGTCAGAATTGCTCGACGGAGTTATGATTCTTTGAATATTTTAAATCGAATTTTGTCTCGTTCTTTTAATGAGAATTTTCTATTAAATCTGTTGAAGTCAGCAAATCATTTATCATTTAATGCGGCAACAATAATATAATCCATACATTTTCAATGATTCGCAATTTCTCAATTCTTCGTGCTACGAAAAAATGACTGCCAATCACATAAAAGTTAGGCTAGGCAGAAAGATTTTACAACAATTTCAACAAGATTAATCGTTCTTTCTAGCTCTAATTCAACTTACACAGACCACTTTCTTTCATAAAAATGTTGATTATCTTAACATTATCTATTAACTGAATAAAATTTTTCACACAATCTGTTCTTTGCAGCCAAGATGGCAGTAACTTATCTATGGTTAGTATATTTATTAATGGAACTTGTCTCAACGGGTGCAACCCCAGAAGCTTCCGGTCGCCGCAGTTCCAGATTGAATGCAGGTGATTTACGAACCAGTTTCAAACTAAACAATCGATGATGCATCTTATTTTGGGTGATAGCCAATAATTTATAATATTACGTTTAGCTACAAATTTTTGGTAAAATTTTGATTTTTCTATTTCAATGAAAAAACTAATTTGAGTACCTTGAAAACACTGCTTTAGAATAATAGGTCATCTTTTATAATTCTGTTGCTATTTTCGACTAGAATGTCGAAATTCTTCGACTAGAAATGACCAAGTGTAGCCACAAGGCACAATGTATTTCTTGTACATTATTTTCCTATTGAATAATTTTAAGCAATTCAAAAATTCCTGATGCGCCAAATTTTGTCTGTGGTGAATAAGTATAGAAAATAATGTTGGATGTATTTTTATCAGAACCATTGACTTCTAACGCCACCAAACATGGAGAAGACAAGAGCACGGAGGCATTAGACAAACTTCTGGCCTCCCTCACTCCTTACGACCCAACAAACAACATAGAAAAGCGGCAAATCTACTGCACAAATGTCCAGGATACTCAGCTTCCTACTGGAGGATATCCAGCAGTCGTCCTCCCCCAGACATCCTACATGCCTGGGTATCCAACAAGCTCACTACCCACTAGTACCATACCAGGTTACGTGACTGTGAACCCATCAGGAATGGTGCCTGGTTATAATGTGGTGACTGGACCAGAGGTCGGGGCTCAGCCTGGCTACACTGTGGTTGATATGTCTGCTTCGCAAGGATTCGTCTCTCCGAACTACCCCAACCTCATACCAGGGTACAACCCATGCGTGCCCATCACCCCAGTGTGCCGTCCTTCAACCCAGTATTCAGGTCCCCCTGGACCTCCTGGTCCCCCGGGACCACCTGGAGTTTCCCTTCAGTGCAGTGTATGTTTTCCAGTAACACCCGTGGCACGGGCTCTATGCTAAAATTCTATGATAAAATTCCTTCATTGTTTATTCCATATATAGATATATGATAAAAAATCTCTATATTCTGTGATAAATTTCCATCGTTATTTAACATATATTATAAGTTATATCTAAAATATTTTCGTTTTTTTTTCGCCCGTGGCTATGGGGTGGGCTTGGTAAAAAAATGTTCTCTTTTCCCATAGGGTTCCTCCTACGGCGGTGTGGGTCCCCAAGGACCTCCTGGACCTCCAGGTCGTGGGTGCCCAGGACTACCAGGGGAGCCTGGAAGGCCGGGACAGTGTCGATGTAATGGCGGCGACGCCATCTTGGATCCCACGGACGTGGTGCTGCTCACCATCAGACTCATCAGCGAGAGAAGTGGTTGCTGCGCCAGTGTTCCGCAGGTTAAACAGTGACGCAGATTTTTTTTTACCTAAAATGGTTCATCTGAATGCACCTTTTCCTAAATTCTGTATTCAAACTACTTCAGTTCAAATTAATAGTCTTATTTCTCCTGCGCATAGTTGAGAGACTAATTAATAATAATTCAGTCTTCATAGTTTTTAAAACGGTTGAGGAATGAAACAGTATGGTCATATTTAACAGAATAGAGTTCAGCAAATTTTTAACGGAACGTAAACATAAAACGTAATTAAATATTAATATCTTAAAACATGTCAAGTTTGTCACAAACAGATATATAAAGAAGTAACTTAGAGCTCGTTCTCCCCTCCGTTAACTGATGTTTTGATCCAACTAAGTATAGTATAAATGAAGACTATTTTGTTTCATTCAAGAATGAAAACTGAGTTCATTCAACCCTTCGCAAAATTTCTGCATAACTTTATACTTTATAGTTGCAATATCAAAATAGTGACATGTTTTGTTGTTACAGTGCGACGGCGACATGAGTGCACTGGTTAACCAGGTGGCTGTGGTTCAGAACAAAGTTGATCAGATCGCCAAGCTCGACAACAAAGTGGATTTGCTGATCTCTGCCGTTGCACAACTCAGACTTAAAATACAGAACCGTAAGATCCCATGCACGAACTTTATGTATAGAGTCGTACCAGCTTCATAGGTCCATGTTGGCCTGTCACTGATTCACAACCAGCCGACCACCGTGTCAATTGCTATCAGAATTTTTATTACTATTTGCGAGTTTCGAGCCCACAACTCGCTGCAATCTTAATGATTTTAACCACTCGACTACCCCGAATTTCGAAACTGTTCGTGCAGAAACTATTCAAGTGAAACTCTTTACGTTTCTTGATCAATTGATACGATGTTGTCACGCGTGTGAATCATCAGCATGTATGGGCATTCACTTTTCGAAGCTATTATCAGCTGTCATCTTGCAATCATTTTTACCATTGTTGTGATAGTGTACATACTCCTATATGAATATAGAATAAATAACATTACTAGAATATATCTAGTTAGCTAATTACAAGTAAAATCATGCCGAACAAAATGATTCCGTATATTAACAGAAGGCGGAGTCGGAGGGCCGCCCGGTGAAAAAGGCAACATGGGCCCGCCTGGCATCAAAGGGAACGTCGGACCACCAGGAATGCCGGGTGATTGTCCACAGTCTGTGTGCAACAGCGGGCCTCCTGGTCCCCCAGGACCCCGAGGGACCAATGGAGATCCTGGGCCCAAGGGCGAGTGTTGTTACGGGGTCCGTGGAGACCGAGGACCGATTGGAGCACGAGGAGGGAGCATGGCTGGAATACCTGGACCAAAGGGCGCTAAGGGGGACAATGGAGACCCAGGAGTCTGGTTGCCAAGAGATCCATGCGCTGCTACACATGGGGGATAAAAAGCTACATATAATGGACGAGCTGCTACAAATGCGGGATGCTAAGCTACATAGGAGTGATGAATGTTAATCACTCCCCTCATTGACGCCCATCTTGTTCCGATTTCATTGCCAATTTTCACCTCATAGTGTCACATGTAACAAATGAATTTGATTCAGAATTTCTATACAAACCATATTTTCTATCCTAATAATGGAAGCAACATAACAAAATGCGCACCGCTATCGTAATCATTTTCTGGAATCTGTAATTTGTTGAGGTGCGACCGTAATCTTACCCTGTACGTTACTGCGAGCTCTGCCGTTACACAACTCAGACTTGAAATACAGAACCGTAAGATCCCATGCACGAATTTTATGTATAGAGTGGCACCAACTCCATTGGTCCATGTTGGCCATGGATTGGGACGCCATTCAAAAGTAATAGCAACGTTCATCATTATCATATGTGTTAAAGGGCCTTAGAATGATTATGAGTTTGATATTTTAAGGATAAATTTATTGGACGCGGCACGGAGATCACGCGGGTTAAGAAGTTCAGAATTCATAAAAGTGTAGTAAAGAAACAATTAAAACGTGTAGTTTGAGAATATACATTATTATCCTGAAAAGATAGAATAAATTAAAGAGATTCAAGCAACAAGGTATATTTGTATAAAAACCACGGCTTTTTGGCAGAATTGAGGAAGATTTCAAATTCAAAAATTTCACCGCTATCACAGGTAATTCTACTCTCCGAACAATTTAGGAGTCTTCCCTCAACACTTAAAATAAGTTATGGACTGTTTACAATTAGTTTAAAGTCCAAGCAGATGCTACTTGTGCCATAACTGCGCAGTAGCCGTCAATATATGGAAGCGGATATACCGCACGGTGACGGTTCTGAATACTGAGATAAAAAAAATTAGATCAGTACTCACTGCAGTGAATGACAGAGAGCGCATTTTCTCGTGCTCTCTCACCCCCCGAAGTCACGGACGGACGGACATGACGAGCACAAAAGCGTCTTTTTTTCATATACGAGTAAATATACAAAAAATATAACTCGGTACTTAAACTGCAGTGAGTGACAGAGAGCGCATTTTCTCGTCCGTCCGTCCGTCCGTCCGTCCGTCCGTCCGTGAAGTCAAGGACGGACGTTAAGTCACGGACGAACGGACGGACATGACGAGCACAATAGCGCCTTTTTTCCATAAATGAGAAAATGCGCAAAAAAGAGCAGAAAGAGCAGATACTGGCAATATAATAGGAGATCTTAAAACGCAACATAAGAACTTAAATTACAACTAACGTCATAATTGAGGACTTCCAAGAAAAAAAATTCAAGGTGATTTATCGAAAAAGTGATTGGCAAAGACACAAACGATAAAATATTACGTACTCCTATATGAATACAGAATAAATGAGACTACTTGAAGATATTGTTGTGGGCCTTTAGAGATGGTATGTCCATTGGCCGCCCTCCAAATTGAACGAGCTCTTTTACTCTATCTACAACAGCCGGAAAAAATTATTTCAGATTTATAAAGGATGAGATGAGATCTAACTAAGAATCATTTTCTTGTGAGTCATCAAATAATAAATTTTATAATAGAACTGGGATATTATACACAAAAAAAATTAACAAAAATTTTAGTCAATTTATCTTTTGTTTGATCAACATAAAAAATCACTGTACAATATTGATGATTATCAAACACAAAACCTTGGTCCCCCATTGGATGAAGCATATGAAACTATTTAGTAATTCTAAAGCCTGTCATCCTAGCATATCAACAATTCACATAACTGGCAGTGCTTTATCTACCATGTCCACAAGCGAACCCTTTAATTGAGACTAGAATTGTAATGCCAGTGGACAATGCTGGATGAAAAAATAACAACTAAGATGTCTCTTCGAAAATAATACGTTTGATTTCACGGGCACGATGCACAATACAAAAAGTTAATGAATTGTAAATGAATTATACAGTCAACATACCTATATTCACCCCATGATATGTGCCATGAAAAGTTGGTCATCTTACTGGTCATGGTATCCTCCGCATCCCTGAAGATGCTTTTAATGATTAGAACCTCAGGATGCAGGAACAATAGTCGTCCGTGTTCGTAACATCTGGACAACGGTCTAATGTATGTACTACAAAAGCTCTTCAACTAAAATTACAGTATATATAACAACCACCTTAACTGCAGGCAACACCGGTCAAAACATTCCTTAGCAAAGCTAGGTCATAAAATAAGAGCAGCCTTGCATTTGCAATGATCAACATTATTGACTGCAAGTGGAATTATGGTTGGACGTAAAATACGAGTAGGTCATGAAAACCTAATTGAAATTGTTATTGTCTGTTCACCTGTACGCGCGAGGATGGTTAGGAAGACTTCAAGAGACGCCAGCAATCATCTACCGACTTCCATATAAAATTTCCCCAACAGTAAGGATAAACGTCGTTTTATATTAAAAAAATAATGCGATTAGGTTTCTGAAGCACTTCACATAATTTTGATCCAAACGCAAAGGAAAACCAAACTTAGTGCTGAAAAAATTGTCAATTACTATTAAATTTAACTAAGCAACAACCACAGAAAATATTTTACCCAAACGTACAGCTGAACGTTCAATTTTACTGCGAATGATAAGAGTTTAAAATAAACATCATCAAGCATCGTGGAAATGTTTTCAAGGCCACATTGAAGCAATGATTTCAGCAACCGCAAGCACCTCGGCAACGTCATGACTTGAGGCCGACGAAGTGTTTCTCCGGTGCTTTTTGATCAGCTGAAAATGCTCGTTTTCTTTGATGGCTTCGAGTTCATGTGGAAGTTGCATCTGCTTGAGGGGCGCTCGCGCTCGGATGCCCCGAGTTGTAGGTCTCTTTTGGGGGTCCGCGTTGAGCATCAGCTGCAGCAGGTCGTGCTCTTCTGGATGCTCTTCTACGAAGCCCTCTGGAAACTGCAGCATCCGTACCTGTGACAAATAGATTTCAGTTAGGATTTATTTTTAACGAAAATTAGATCATTTTTCAGCAGCCATTCAACAATAACTTTTCTATCAGAGATGTCATATCACTTATAATTTACGAGGTACTAATAAAAAACTAACGAGTATCACGAATATCAGCTGATCATTACCCACTTAATTTTATATGAAAATTAAAAACTCACTTGGGCTAAACGTTCACTAGAACGTCACGATATACGCGTATGCAAATGCCCCAAACCGAATGCAATGATACACTTGGTGCAAAGAAGCAAAGTTCAGGAGCTTACCTGAGACAACACCCGAATTCGTTCCGAGTCTGTACGCATAGGCCAGAGCATTTCAAAGAGTATAAGGCCCATTGAGAAGATGTCGACCTTGTAGTCATACTCGACGCGGCGCAGCTGCTCCGGACTCATGTAGGTCTGGGTGCCTGCCCCCTGCGTGTGCTTGTGGTGGGCCTGTTGCACACTCGGTGCCGAATCTGGAATGCGCGACAGGAAGGAAGACAATTGTAAACATTGAAGATCAAAAGATGGTACTACGGAAGAATGTATCAGTCAAAAAATGATTTTTAAAAACTTGTATTATTCGATGTCTGCATCACATTGATGAAGGTATTCCCCTAAAGTTTGATAGAATATATCACTGCCAACAGAAAATCTATTGCAATGTGATTGAAGCGATGACACAATGCGGACGGTACAAGCGCTACCCAAAGCCAAAAAATTAAGAGAATTATTAGAGATAATGAGATAGATCTCAGGTCAAAAGATTGATCTAAGATCAAGAACTCACCGTCTTGGCCAGAAGGCGACAACGGCGTACGAGCGCTGTGGCTATCGCAGTCCTCGTCAGCAATGTGAGTCACCAGACCCAAATCCCCGACTTTTAAGACATCCTCTTGATGAAGACTGAAGAAAATGTTCGACGGCTGGAATAAAAGAGAACAATCAGGCTTTAATTCTCTAACTTCTGAAATTCAGTAGAAATAATATGACAAAAATTTCAATGCAGCGATCTTATTTGGGAGAATAATAACATGTTCTCTCGAATACCTGAGCAATGGAACGTCATAATAACAGTATGACTCAATAAAGAGAAAGCTATCATTTTTCAAAGAGCTGGAGAATTAGAAAAAGTACCTAATAATGCTTCACACTAATAACAAGTAGCGCATACGTTATTACTGCAGGCGACCTCACCTTGAGATCTCTGTGCATCATCTGTTTGTCATGCACGTGTTCCACAGCATTTACGATATCGAGGAAAAATTTAAGGACCTTTGTCTTAGGTCTTTCCGTGTTCTGCATCAGCCAGTCTTTGAGTGTCTTGGGGTCACACAACTCCATCTGAATATACAGGTAATCTTGGGGCCCTCTCGAGTTCTTACGAGACCTTTTGGCGTAGCGTGCTTGGGACAAGCTTGGTAAACTGTCGGAAAGGTTGAGTGTTTCGGGTCGGGCTAGGGCATTGTTTTCATCCTCTTCCCCTGCAATATTGAGAACAATTAGATTGGATAATGCTTCAAAAAGAATTTGTCGCACATAAATTTATTGAGTGTTGATGTAGCCTGCGATAGGATTTATTTGTGCATTGATTTACGCAACAGACAAATTTGACAAGCAAGGCTATAACTTCACCTCAAAATGAATGGGTCACAATGAGTAATCTTAGAGTGTAATCACTGTTATGAACGAGACTACATAAGATCAGGCTACAAGGGAGAAAAAGAGTTGAGGTTTTCAAGTGAATTTATAGAGTTTGAGTTATTCGGCAGTAAAATTAACAAATTGGAGTGGACATGTAACTGGGCATCTCAGTACATTCGAATTATATTACATCCATCACCAAGTCCAAGTGAAAATTTTAAGAAGCGCATGTTAAGTTGAATAATCTAGTCAAAAGACAGTTTCAAGATAACATAAATTTTTCTTTTCATTTTTATTATAATTCAAATTACAAATGTTGAGGTCAACCCAAATTTTGTATAGCAAATAAAAAAAATTTTTGTTCAGTTATATGAAAAATTTGTTCAGTTCAGGGATCATTATAAAATAAATTAAATGTACACACCAATATTTGAAGCGCGACGCCCATTTTCCTTAATTTCGCTGAAGTCAGGCCGTGTGGAATCTTTAAACAGAATCGAGTCGCTCTGACTTCCAGCTGAAGTCAAACCATTATTTTCAGCGGCCACATCTTCACATGAAGCCGCGCTGCTACCGCTGCTTGATGAATCATTGTCCATCTTTTCTGAGTTATAATTAAAATCCTCATCAAGTTGCGAATCGTCCTTAGATTGAATAAATGATGACTCCTGATTAAAAGTAAAACTATGAGAATTTCCACCGCTGTCATTGGACTCAGAGACGTGATTGTGGAAGGATCCATCTTCTTCGAGCTCAGGCTTGGATGAGTCTGCAAATATAATTCCTGAAGACCCCTCATCGAAATCAACTGTGAAAGAAGACTCGTTGCCAATTTTGGAAGACTGATTTTTAGAGTCTTTTGAATGAGGAACATTGAAACGCCCCCTGGCGAGGGGATTTCCAGACAACTGCCATCATTGACAGTTGTCTGGTGGTCGGCTTGACTGTCAGCTACAGGACAGACTGAAGGCCACTGTTGGTGCCTAATAGTACGGTTGTATGGAAATAAAGCTCCAGAAGGCTCTGCCGAAATTCCTTGTCCTGTTTGTGGCTGTGGCTGCCCGGAATTCTGTGAAGCTGCAACTTGGAATACATCCTGACTAGGAGCCGCCGTACAATTATAAGTCTGGTCAAGAGACGTGTAAGGCAAATTTGAAGGTTGGAGACGAGCCTGTAGTACCTGCAAGAAAAAGTATTATTAAAATATAGTGAATCAGTGTAACTTGTACCTAGTAGCAACAATAATGCAATTTTCCGCGAGTAATACCAGCTAATGAATCTTTACTGACAGAAAACTCAAGGAAGAAGCAACAGGATGATACTTGCAAGATTCATCTACAGCCGTGGAGCTTTATATACAAGATCCATATTCACAACTTTTCTTTCAGATACCGTAAAATGGGGTAACTTTGACCACTTTTTCTTCAAAATGCCATTTTTTTACTAGATAAAATAAACTTAAATTGAAATACAGGTCTATACTCTAGCTTTACTCACCATAAATTGCTGGCTCCTGCCTCTCATAGTTTTGATGTAATTTAAAAAAAAGTGATGGTCTTTGTTACCCCAGCTCTTGGGGTTTCTTTGACCGGGTGATAAAATCAATTTTATTTTTTAGTAAAATAACTCCAAATAACTCCAGGTTTTGATGCATTGTAGTAGAACTCTTCTAGTTACATATGCAAAAGACAAATTTTAGGAAAGTGTCATAGTTTGCAAATGAGGGGCGCCGCCCCCAAATGAGCAAAATGTGACCACCTAATGGCAGCCGTGACAGGGTAACATAGACCGGTTTGGAAATTAAGTTAAAATTACCATATATAAGACTCTGTAGAGTCTGAAACATAAAGAAAAAAACATTAATAGGTATATCAAACATAAAATATGTAATATATGTACCTGTGGTAATTTTAACTTAATTTCCAAGCCGGTCAATGTTACCCCATCACGGCTGCCATTAGGTGGTCAAAGTTACTCCATTGGGGGGTGGCGCCCCCCATTTGCAAACTATGACACTTTCCTAAAATTTGTCTTTTGCATATGTAACTAGAAGAGTTCTACTACAATGCACCAAAACCTGGAGTTATTATACCAAAAAATAAAAAAATTGGAGGGGGTACTCCGACAGGCTTTAAAAAATAGCTCTTTTTTGTGGGTCACATTTCTAATTTTTTAACCTATTAGATATGCAAACCTTTTAAATCTTTCTATTGTGTTACGTAGCCTCAGTATTATAGGCTTTTGATGGCCATTGACAAAATTTTTCTTTGTTGAATCGTTTTTGAGTTTTGGGGGTTTTTGTTAAAAAAATGAAAAGTGATCAAAGTTACCCCGCCGGTCAAAGTAACCCCATTTAACGGTATTGTTCGTACTAACATTTAAGGTTGAAAATGTTTTAATAGCTTGATTAATATCACACTAGATTACAGATTACCGGCCAAGTGAGAAAATCTTCCCCTAGTTCCAACGCAATTTCTACCACAAATATTGCTAGATCAGGTGATATATGATTCAAAAGCAGACAATGAATTTTACATCTTGCGTCCACGATCTCATTCAACCAGAGTATAATTCTAAAGGAGTAATGTGTGAACTAGCACAAGACACATATGCTAAAAAATATTTATTTGTATATTTTGTGTGTATCTTTTCTTCTCAACATGAGTGCTAGAGTTGGAAAACAAAATAACTCTCATTTTGCATTGAAACGGCAATTTTAAGCAACTGGGTCTAAATGATTTAGTGGGAAATAATTTTTTTCTACACTCAATATCCTCATGCCAGCCTCAAGAAATCCGGTGTCGAACCAGGCACCATCAAAGGCTTTCTACCTACATGTATGTTTCAATACGAGTTCAGGGTTACAAGATACCCTCGTTTTGTACCAACATTCCTATTTTAATGTCACGTCCAAGAAGCTTGCTGGATTATATGTAATTAAATAGCTACCTGTCGTCCAGTCGGCCAGAGCTTCCTGAATGCAGCGTACAAGGCGATGAGAGGAGCGAGCAAGAACGTGACCAGCCACTTACTCCAGGCAGGAGAGAAAACCTGTATCGTGAACAGCAGACACACGCACAGCAACACTGACTGCACAATCGAGACTCTGGAAAATAGACAGAAACTCATCAGCGACACCAGGTTATTTTGCTCCTTAAAAATCCACACACAACTTGATGCTTTTTTGACTACTGAATTGCGTATCTCTTATATTACAAAAAAATACTTGCTGAATTTAATTAATTGGTCTCAGACAGTTGTGCATTAAGAATTTAAGCACATAGCACATTCAAGACTGATGATGTATGCATGGTCCTGCAAGCACTCACGGGAACCGCAACTGCCACGTAAGACTGAGCGAGTGGTTGAACCAACTGACGACCCACGCCCACGGTGAATCGGCTTGAGACGATGTGGCATCACGTGCGGCAGTCGGAGGATCATGCGTGCCATATTTCAAGCCGGGAGACGTGTCGATAGCGCGGCGTATGGGAGGCCTCCCATCGTCAAACAAGGCGTCGTTCATGAAAAGATACACGCCGAAATCTGGCGACATTTTTAAGTAAGTGATGATGCTGTAAATAGTCATAAGAGTAATTCCAAATAGCCAGAACAGTAATGTGTTCATTATATTAAACGACACGTAATGCGAAAAAACGCAAAAGGCACGGTGGTTGAAGGATCCTGAGAAGCCTAATTTCGTTCTTTTAAAGCCAATGTAAAACTCATGCTGATAATTGAATGCTGATCAGAAGGGAGAAATCTTAATTTTCTATTAAATATTTTCAGTTTGACTTGGATTGTAGGTCTACAAGGAGAAAAGGCATAATAACTTCAAGTAACTAACTTGAACGATTATTGTTATCAGGGGTAACAATGTTTGAGTCATCAGGAATAGGGACGACGTCAAGATCCTGATGCGTGACATCAGTGACTGTCGCAGACGACTGTTGATTATGACCGTTGGCCCCGGCGACATCAACACCAGCAGCGGCATCAATTGAACTGGCGTCAGGATGATACTGAATTGCCAAGGATGTTTCGCCATTATCATGCGGCAACGCGTGAGCCAACTGAGGTGGTCGAACAAAGTAGGGCTTCCAGCTGATGGAAGGTCGTTCGAACAGCTGCCCGTCTGAAAATTTAAAGTACATACTCTTAGAAACTTGTGAGCATGAAACATTAAAAAAATGCAACTCAGTACTCACTGTAGTGAGTGAAAGAATGCGCATTTTCTCGTCGACGGACGGACAGACAGACAGACAGACAGACAGACAGACAGACGGACATGGCCGGCACAATAGTGCATTTTTTCCATAAATGAGAAAATGCGCTAAAAATTGTGAGAAATTTGTACTAAAGTCAAATCAAAACCAAAGATGATGTAATACTTCAACTAAATAACGTTCATCTTCATTCAAAAAATTAATTTATGTCAAGACACTTGACATTACTTTCAATCATTTCCTTTCTTCAATGACGCAGCAGAATTTCACTCTATTGGTTTGCAAATGAAGTTGAAACAAACCCTATGCATCAACTTCGTCTACAACCCATAGCCTATGCATCAACTTAGTTTTCATTGATAAAACATTTGGCATTGACAGCAACAAGAACTGACCAATTTTGAAGAGATTGGTTCGCCTGAGCGTGTTGGCGGCAGAGAAGGCCTGCAGCTTCATCCTGAGTCGCTCTGAGTGTTGCACGTACATCTGCTGCCCTACCCTACCGAGGTACACATCGGGGGAAACCTGCACCAAACAAATTAAATTATTCTTCGTTGTAGAAAAGTCATTCTACCATTTATATTCATTGAATGCTGCTTCATCATATGATAAAATTTAGTGATGAACTTGCTCGAGAATATGATGACAGAAAATACGTAGGTATACAAGTTCATTACAATATACGTTTGGACGTGAACAAAACAACAAAAAAGGCCCTTCTTGTATCGTGTATGATGTTCACGATTTTTATTTTTACTATAGTGACCCCCCCCCCAAAAAAATCAAAAATCACCAGGGCAACTTATATTTCCCAACTACCATATTTATGGAAGAATTTTTATTTTTAGCTTAAATATAAAATACTCTAGGGAATTCAGGCAAATTTTAATAACCCCCGTACAAATTAAAATGGCAGTGCGAGATTCAATTGAGTAACCGTTCATCAAGATAACAGGTTTAACCACATGCATCAGACATCCCTGTCCTCAAAGCCCTTAAGTTATTCTGACTTTTAAAGATCTTACAAAATCGTCCACCCGTGGCGTGGTCGAGTGTAGCGGCACCAGCTGATAGAGGTTGCTGGGCGCCAGCAGGTCCAATTTTGTAAGTTCCCCATCCTGTAGCCTCCAAGCCCCAGTGATTGGGTGGTCAAACTGGAGAAATAACATCATTGCAGCTTAGACAAACGTGATAGAATTGAGTATGACTCAGCCTACTGGGTGATAAAATGCAGTAATTTAGAGCTTTACTGGAATAATTACCCGTTCATTATAATCTGTTGCAATCACAGTCGTGAGTAATGAATGGAAGCTAACGTAGTTTGGTTCACAAAAGCAACAGCACGAAATAACAACTTCTGCCTATCTCTAGAAATATTAATCTACAATATAAATGCATTTAGTTTTGAATTCAAATCAATAGAGTGGTCAATATATTGCGGTAATTCAACTAATTTTTTTACCAACATCTTTGCAAACTATACTACTACATTAATATATTTTAAAAGTTTTGCAAAACGTCATATTAAAAATAATATTTCCATAATCTAAAAATTATATCCTATAAGAAATCTGCCTTCCGATTGATGGTTGAACATGTGATTTGTGAACATGTGATTTGTTGACTATGAAACAACTAGGTAGAAATGGACTCATTATTTACATTCATTTGTGAATGTGTTCTAATATCCAGATTACCTCTATACTGTCATACACTGGAGGACTTATAAAATTCAAAATTAATTTTGAAGGAAAACATTACAGCTAAGGTGGTTTAGGCTACTTTGCAGCCCACCCTCTTGTTCCTCTTATATGTTGTCCCCTTTTTCCCTCTTATGTGTGTTACTGTGTGTTTATATTGAAGTGTTTAACTATTTTATAAATTCAACTAAAATAATTCTCATTCTTTTCAGGTCAGGTTTAGATCAGTAATTGATTACCTAAATTTATGCCAAAAACTATTCTAAAGTAAGGTGCTGTATAAATTGCTGTCCCACGCTCCCTAGTCCCTAACCTCTTGAGTGATTTGCTCTAAAGCACCCTATAAACCCATTAACTGGCTTGTATTGGAAGCCGTTATTGGTGCGCATCTTACTCATTGGTCTGTGTGCATTTTTACTTGGCGTCATCTTTAGTTCAGCTTCAGTTTATCCGTCTTACACATTTTCCTTATTCTGTCATTTTCCTGTCACTTTCACTGTATGAGATCCCAATAGTTATTAGAACCAGTATTTTCGTTTCATTTTCCTTTTCAACCTCTAGTCATCATATTAGTTTCACTAATTCTTGGTTACCAATTCAAAATTAATTTTGAAGGAAAACATTACAGCTCATGTGACGACTAGCGTGACTGACAAGTCACTAAGACGTTGCACTCAATTTGCTGCTCATCAATAAAATCCGCATAATACTGATCAGAACTACGATTTTAAGAGTAGGATTACCACATAATAAGTATGAAGCTATTTCGTTTTTACTACCAAGTTGTAGTTCAGTTTTGCTAATAAATAGATCATTCCTATTGAAGGCCAGAAACATAATTGCTGGAACAACTCAAAGTAGCATTGACGTTAGTTTAAACCCAATGAAAAATTAAAATGCATAAAAAAAACTTTACCTTGCATTGACGTTAGTTTCAACCCAACTCAAGATTAAAATGAATAAAAACTTAAGCTTGCATTGACGTTAGTTTCAACCCAACTCAAGATTAAAATGAATAAAAACCCAAACCTGCAGCAGGACACTTGAATCTTACTCTGTTCTTCCACAGCCGCGTTCCATCTTCTAGCTCCGCCTGAATAAGCCTGTCAGAGAGGGAGAAGCGCAGCAAGGGTAGAGTGGGGTTGTCTGAAGGTGCTTTGCGGCCCGCTGTGGCACGACACCCGCTGCTGCGGACCAGCTCCACCTGATGCTCTCCTACGCTGTAGTTAAACCTGCAACCAATAACTAAAGTGAGAATTTATATTATTCCAGACCTACCTATAGTTAGATCTAGTATTATATCATTGAATCTTAAGCGAACCAAATTAGCTTCTGACTGAAGAAATTTAGGAATTTAATTTACATGTCATTGAGAAGCACATCAACATTACATCCATTAACCAGCAATACTGTGTGTCTTGAAAGTACTGTGAAAGTTTTTAAACAGGACCAATCAGATTCAGACCCACAGAATGAATCAACCTCATACACTAAAAATTCCCAAAATCCATTCATTCTTATGGATTGTAATAACAAGTTTCACAAACTAGAGGATTTTAAAAACTAAGAATCACTCTAAATTGATCAAAAATTGGAAAAGAATTAGCAGAATGGAAGATGTAAAGTGATGCTCTTAATTATGACCAACTTTAAATATTTTATAGGTACCCTTCTAAACCTTGCTTTTAATACAGATAAACATTACAGAGAAAAACGTTGAAGCAAACTTTCTTAAAATTGGTGATAAATTTAACAATCCCTCCAAAAACTACTGCTCATCTAAAAAAAAAAAAAAAAAAATTTAACCAAAAAAGAACACCTTGCAATCAACCAAAAAATAAACTAACAAACCCTCCGAAAAAAAAAAGGGTCTCTCAAATAATAAACATTCAAGTTACAAATGACTGAAACATATTAAAAGTTTCATTCATAACTCACTTCTCAATACCAAGTGTAGGGTCGAAAGCATAGACATTCCTCATGGTCTTAGTTACGAGGATAACATCATCCGAGTCCGACAGTGGGGGGATGACCCCATCTAAGTTGGTGCGCTGCTTGCAGCCCTCATGATCACACTTGTACACAAGGGCTCCACTCCCAGCATATAAACCAAATGATTCTGACGAGTATCCACCTGGAAATAGAATGCTTGAGGAACTATTCATATTAAATGGTCAAATTCTGGAGAAAAATCAAGCTAAAACATAACATATTTCTTAGAATTCAACAGCATTCAAGTATATGCACATTTTTTTACCACATTGTTTCAAAATTTTATTTATCATCTACTCAGCTTCAAGAATACATCTAAAACCATGAATGTAAATGAAACCATCAATTTGAAGAGGCCAATGGCCTCTTGTATTACAATGACCTCTGCCGATTTTTGTAAATTGGCAGTAAGTACACAATAATACTATTGATTCAGCCAACTTGAAATTCAATAGAAAAGTATAATTTTATTTGTTACTACATGAAAATTTTTAGTCGTTCATCCAATACAACACTATGACAGAATTGCTAACAGCTTTCCATTCCAAAGCAGAGTTCACACTTGCAATTTTCTTGCCAAGTCTGGAAGCACATGTCATAGCCCCACAATGTCAGCATACCTGACACATATGTTTCATCATCAAACTTGAAGGTTGAAGCCTTGAGTGCATCAGCTGATACAGGCAAGGCAGTGAGTTTGTCAGATCCCTTGCTGATTTGATAAAGCATTCCATCCAAAGAGGGAACCAACTGAATCATTTTCCCAGCAGCCACCATTTGCAACTAAAAAAAGCAAAAGCCACTTCCTCAGCTTTGCTCAAATCATTTTAAAATTAAAGTACTAAACATGTTTAAGAATATAAACATTATTCATTTTAATATTAGTACTTTATATGTTGCATTTTTATTATCATTTTTATCATTATTTTTATTCAAAAACAATTATAAATTATCATTGTAACCACAATAATGTCTTCTAATCAACTATCATTACAAGCAAGAAAATGAACACATGATAAAAATTTCACGCATGATCATAAATACTGCTAAAACATCTATGTAACATCTATGTAATATTTTGATCATTTCCTGCACTCTTTATTCTAAAATAATAGATCAGTACCTACTCACTACAGTGAGTGACAGGGAGAGCATTTTCTTATCCATCTGTCCGTGAAGTCACAGACGGATGGACGGAAATGATGATCACAATAGCACTTTTTTTCCATAAATGAGAAAATGCGCTAAAAATTGCCCTAGACCCCCCCTCGTGCTCACCCCAGCACTGGATGTTGACAACAAACGTTGGTGACCAAGTGAATTCCTCCAGAGAACAGCTCCAGTTTCAAGATCCAAGCTTGTGATGTCTCCATCAAGAGTGCTTACAAGCACATGGTTCTGGCCAGCTCTGCAGAGAACACATATAATTTCATTTATTAATACATAATCCTAAATTATAGACACCTTATATATTAAGTGAACTTCAACAATTTTTAGAATAAGTTGCCAATGCACTATTCTGAGCTTGATCAATGGATACAAATGGCTTTAAGATGATTGAATCAATGTTGATATGCATTAAGAAAGGAAAATTTAATAGCCCAATAGTATGAGATGAGAAATGGAAAGAGAAGGAATTTTTTGGTAATAGCTAGCAGATAAATGTCATGCATAAATGATACGATACCATCAAACAGGGTAATAAGGGATGGTTTTGACTGATTTTGTTAATAACTTCTTACCATGAAACATTTCATAAACAAGTTTAGGCTCTCGTTTTATAGCTCTTTGCAAGGGCTAGCAAATGGCATCTTAAAAAAATTCCATATGCTATTTGTAAGGTGCTAGACGCAAAATAAAACTGTCCCGAATTATACCTGAGAACGGGGTCGTCTGGGACACTTGAAATAAAATTCAATTTTAAAATGTTTTAGGCATGCAGAGTGTACTCATCCATTACTAACAGTGGTACTCTGAAGTCCTCCTCTTTCATTGATGTAGATGTAGAATAAATTAAATATTCTGTGGTTTTTACTTGTTTATCCTTTATTGATATGATATTACCATATTCTTTCATTACCATATTATTGATGTGATATTACCGCATCCACAAACATGCCATTGAGCATTTACAACGACCTTGTCCACTGCAAGCTTCATATCAGCAGCCATATAGCATTTCTTCTGTTACTGTAAACTTACAGGGCTGCTTGTAATTTCACATTATTTTAATTGGGTTAAGTGAATTCACTATAAAAAAAGTTTGTAAAAAAACATACCTGAAACAGAAAGGAATGTTCTAGTAACAACCATCATTTGTTTTGGAGAAAGAAATCATAGTTTAGGTTAATTACTTTTCATTCTATGATGCCCAGTGCAAAATGTATGATTTCTTATCTAGCTTTATACATAATAGATAGTAAAAATGTTGAAGTTAACGCCACTATTTTTAGTTTTGCAATTTATTTTGATTAGTTTAGCTGCTACAACATTTCTATAAAATGTGGGACGCGCGTCATGATTTACCCCGCCTGTCCCTTATTACCCCGTTTGACGGTAATGATCCACCATGGAGAATTAATCAAGGTACAGCTTAATCAGGCTGAATAAATCAAGGTATAGATTATTAGTAGAAGTTGGACAGCTATGCCATTAAGAATCATTCAAGATACAGATTACAGTAGTTCAGGAGAGTATTTTACCTCTTCACCATGAAAGACTGGTAATTCTTCCCAGGTGAGCTTGTAATTTGCAACTCCATTACAGAACATATGATTTGAAAGCAATTAGAACTTTTTGTAGCCTACTGCAGGCATTGAAATGCTAACAGTGCAATAATGAGGTGAAATTATTGTGAGTTGGAAGTGATGAGATAACCCTCAAATGAAGAAACACTTCAATGAGACCTGTGACACTTAGTCAAAATGAAAACTTGTGAGATAACACTATATGAAATATATAATGCTAAAATGAGATACATAACACTGCAATGAGATAAATCACACTATAGTGAGATATATGATGGGGACCAATAATAACTGGACTATTTTCAAATATTTATTATAAAAATGTATATTTTTATTTATGTAAAGATTTATTTATCCTATATGTATACCTCTATATAATCCTATACAATATGCTTATTGCCATTATAGTATTTATTAATTCATCCCTAATTTTTCCACATCATCTTTAGTTCATGAAGTGAAAGGAAAACCTGAGCAGGGAAGCTTCAACCAACCTTACTTTCCTGAAGTAGGAAACCATTCAAAAGCATGCATTGTACCCTTAGCATCATCCTAATAGTGCTCTCTGTAACATTTCAAATGTTTCCTTGTCAGTTTTCACCAGATGAAAGCAAAATTTGATGGCAGCATGTTGCTCATGAAAATCAGCCTTTACAAAAAACCACAAAGCATGCAAAAGAAGTATCACAAGAAAATTTTAGAGAATGGAACTTGGCCTTCAAGGGAGGGATCTGCGGCTCACTAACTGCTGGCTGTGCCAGGCTGTCAGTAACACATACACCTATTAGGAGAATGTGGTACCTAAAACTCCATCCACCTGACAGTCCCATTTTTTAGGGTCCCCTCATAGAACACTAAAATGAGAGAACATATAATGCAGAAGAAAGAAACCAATAAAGCTGAGGGATTAAAAACAAATATATATACATCTTATCTATACAACATCTTATACATCTAAAAATACATACATCTTACATATACAACTAATTTATACCATTAAAGAGGGTAATAAGGGACAGTTTTGAGTGTTTTTAGCGCATTTTCTCATTTATGGAAAAAATGCCCTATTGTGCTTGGCATGTCTGTCCGCCTGTGACTTCACGTTTGTGTTGACAAGAAAATGCGCTGTCACTCACTGCAGTGTGTACCGAGTCATATTTTTTGTTAATAAATTTTTAAATTCTTATCATAAAATATTTCATAAACAAGTTTGGGCTCATTTTATAGCTCTTTGAAAGGGCTATCAAATGGCATCTCCAAAAAATTTCCATATACTATTCGTAAGGTGCCAGATGCAAAATAAAAGTGTCCCGACTACCCCTGGGAATGGGGTAATTCAAGATACTTGAAATAAAACTTAATTTTAAAATGTTTGAAGCATGCAGAGTGTACTCATCTATTATTAACAGTGATCTGAAGTTGTCCTTTTACTTTGTACATAATGTAGATGTACCTATACTAAATGACATTTTCTGTGTTTTTACTCGTTTTTCTTTTATTGATATGATATTACCATATCCATGCATTACCTTATTATTGATGTGATATTACTGTATCCATGAACATGCTATTGAGCATTTACAACAACCTTGTCCACTGCAAGCTTCATACCAGCAGCCATATAGCACTTTTCTGTATCTGTAAGTTTACAGGACGGCTTGTAATTTCACTCCATTTTAATTGGGTCAAGTGAATTAACTATAACAAATAATATATGTTTGAAAATTACTTTTTAAAGACAACACTTCTGAAGAATCTAGTGTCTTCAATGTTACAGATGTACAATAAATTTCTCATTTTATTTTTGAATATTAAAAAAATTAATTTTTCAATTTTTTCACTAGTAGGTACCGTATATATAATTTTTTTCAAATTTATTTCTTCTGTCAATTGATTCATGCATTGCCTCTGACTTCACACGTGTGCAAAATTTCAGATCAATTGGAGAGGTAAAAGTGTGTCATATCAAATAACAGTTATAAGATTGGTGGCTGACAAAATTATTTTTTCAATTTTTTTGACATGAAAAAAAAATTTCAATTTTCAAAATCATTTATTTTGTCATTTGATTCATGCATTGTCTCCAACTTTACGCAAGTGTGCAAAATATCAGATCGATAGGATAAGTAGAAATGTGTTAAATTTCAATCATAAGATTTGTAGCAGACAGACAGACAAACAACAAGAAGTGAAGTTAAAGAGAAGTGTTGTAAATAATATATGTTTAAAAATTACTTTTTACAGACAACACTTCCAAAGAATCCAGTGTCTCCAATCTTACGGATGTACAATGAATTTCTCATTTAATTTTCGAATATTANAAATCTGTTGGATGACCATTTTTTATTCCCAGTCCCAGCTATATAATTTGCAAGATTAAAAATTAGGAGATAATTCATCTAGCAGGAATGTTTATTTCAGAATTTGCAGGAAAGCTCTAGTTCTGGATCAGGAAGTTGATGTACACCTGCCCATAACTGAGTTGGGAATAGTCCTACTTTTTAGTGCATTTTCTCATTTATGAAAAAAATGCACTATTGTGCTCCCCTGCCTCCCCATGTCCGTCCATCTGTCCGTGACTTCACGTTTTTGTTGACAAGAAAATGCGCTCTCTACCACTCACTGCAGTGAGTACTGAGTTACATTTTTCTGAATGTTGCGACTCTAATGTCATGTATTTGTTATTTCAGCCACAATGTTACAGGTATAAGCAGGGCTGGACAAGTCCTGTTTTTCTCTAAAATATTGCAGCTCTAATATCATATAATTTCAGTAGGTATGAAATCTTGCGGCTCTAATGTCATGTATTTCTGTTTGATTGAAAAGTTGTGATTTGCACTCCACAAACATGTCATTTCATAAAATTTCTAACTTCCACAATCTGCACTATTTTTGCCAATCCTGCCAAAATATTCTTCACAATGAAACAACAACAAGTCAACCTAAAACGTTTCCTTATGGACAATTAGTTATAGATTGCGTAGTTGCGGTCATGTCAGACAGTCAGACTACTGCATTAGCATATGATCACTAATTTTTTTATTCAGTTGCTACTCAAGTGAAGACGAAAGTCTTGTCGACTGTTTTAAGGGTAAAATTAGAGATTAGGGGTAACACAGTCACATGAATGGGACTTGGTAAAAAGTTAGCGGCTGCCGGCATGTAATATAATATCGCTTTTAATGGCTCAGATATATAATTCGAGGCTCATTGAAATTAAATCAAGGTTTGAAGAAATGGAACCATGGCTAGCAAATCCATAAAACCACAGGTCCAAAAAATCAGTAGCAGCTAGCCAAGTATAACATATTCCATGCCTGGGTATAAGTAGGTGTAGGAATTTTCCAATCAATCAAATAGACGTAATGTGCTCATCGTCATCATCTTTATATGATTAATCTTTTTGGACATTTTAGCAGAGAGTAGAACTTAAACAATCATTGATCAACATTCAACAACAAGATTTGTGTAATAAAGTTCATAATCTCTTTGTTAGAGCTTTGTTTACAACTTAAAGTTGTTCATAAAGTTGGAAACAAAGCTCTAACTAAGAGATTATGAACTTTATTACACAAATCTTGTTGTTGATCAATGATTGTTTAGGTTCTAGTCTCTGCTAAAATGTCCAAAAAGATTAATCATATAAAAATGATAAACTCATTACCGTACTCATTAGTGACTGCCTGTGACACAGATTGAACTATGTGATTAAGGCACTGCAAAGTGCAAACTCACACTAAAAATTAGAATTGGGTTATATAGACATAGGACAATTTCTACCTGAAAGTGAAGTCACAATTAATCTATCATCTCTTGAAAAAGTTGATTTGCATTGTAGATTCTAAAGAACCCAATTTTTCTACACAGATGAATCCTGAAGTCTTAAATGGACCTTTAAATAATAATAATAGCGGTTTCAGCGTTTAGTAGGCCGTAGGCCTGTTGCCTATTCTTAACATCGCAGAACATTCACAGCATTTTGCGGTCACAAACTCGCAACTTAGTGAACTCACTGCTACAATTCTGCTGTGCTCAACCCGCAGTCAACCGCCTGGCCTCCTGGCCGATTCTGACCAGAAACTGTCGCGCAGAGCTGGGATCAAACCTGTGCCTCTCTGTGCCAATCTTGGTACCTAGTACCTACTCTGAACTGTAACCACTGGCCCTGGGCCACCCTGCCTCTGTGCGCAGCCTCATGACTGCATAGTGGGATTATTAGCAAAGCAGAGAGTTTTTTAGACTCTCCCTCAACTTCATTTCTGAGTCCTATAACTTCATAAGTAGACCAGTAAAGTATCCTGGATACCAGCATTATCATACTTAAGAAATTGGTTTAAATCTTGGGTAAATGAGGAAATTAAAAATAAACTAATTCTAAAAAAGCTCTGGTTTGCCACTATGATTAGTGGCGATACAATACCACCATACTGAGCCTGAGGAGTGAGGAATAATAAATTTCACATAAAATGAGAAGTAAATAATTCAGTAAATTGTGACACCAAAGTAGAGACTCACTCAGCAATAGGTTCCTCATCTGTGCAGTCAGGCAATTGACTGAATTTTGTGCCAGACCCGGGCAGAGTGAAGTCATCCCGACGGTTGACAACTTCATAATCCAGAGATTCGAGCTGGACATAGTCTTGCTCCAGTTCTGGCTCATCCTCCATTTCAGAATATTCATTGCGGCCTACGAATTCATCATTTTCGAATGAAACCAAATTCGGGACACCGTCCAACGGTTCGGTGGAACCAAATTGCGCTACATATAAGAGTGCGGTGCAAACCACAACAATACCAAGCCTGGTAAATTGAACGACGTGCCTACCGTTCATTTCTTCACCGTATAAATCGTTCTGCCTACAAAGTATTTAATTCACGAGCTTCAATAATAGACCAATCTTCACAAACTACTGTTGCCAGAAAACGCTTTTATCCATCGTTGCGCGCTATTTCATCGCTTTTCGATTAACTGAGCTCGCTCAACGGCTCAGGTGAGCTCGCACGTTTTGTGACGTCATGACATGCTCCGTGCCGTCATCGCATTCTCTGAGCTGTAAGTGGCCAGTTCGCTGTGTGACGTCTTTTCTTACAGAATCAACGAGATCATTCTTGTTCAAGATGACGTGGAAATTTATATTATTATTATTATTTGTACATCAACAATAGTGAAACTTTTGTTTGCTTATGTTGTAATTATCATGGAATTAATTCAAATCCTTACAAGTTTCAATTTAATTATGACTTATTTCACGTCCGCCCGAAAGCTAAACTAAATGTCATTCGAATAATACTCGAATTTTTCGTGCTCTAGCTGATGCTTTCCTACTCTATATTTAATCAGGTGAGTGATAATGAATGAGCAGTTACATTATTTTTTTACATCGAGCAGTCACACCCCGTCTTTTTGGCCAAGGCACTTATTGCTGGTTCAAGTCGCTAAATGTGCAGCCTCACGTTCAAACCAAGTTTTCCACCAAAAATGTAATCCTTCATAGGCATTTAATGATTTTTTTAAATACATTTCAAAAAGATTTTATCAACAATACTAAACGTGTCGGTTATAATCTTGATCTGAAATTTTATACTTGGTACTGGAATCATGCGGCATCGTTTATCGGGCCATCAAATTTAATGTCAAAATTTGCTAGTGGCGAGTTATTTTTCTTCTGCGCACACATTCAATATAGGCGTTAAATGCTATAAAAAAAAAGTATATTTTTAGCGCATTTTCTCATTTATAGAAAAAAGACGCTATTGTGCTCGTCATGTCCGTCCGTCTATCTGTCCGCCGTGACCTCAAGTTTTCGTCGACGAGAAAATGCGCTCTCTGTCACTCACTGCAGTGGGTACAGAGTTATATATATTTTTTGCGGAAATTATGTGGGTAATCGTTTTTTGTCAGACCGCCCAACCGCGCACTGAGACTGAGTGAATTAAGAACCCAGTCGTCATAGTTCGCATGGTGCAGCTCCCATTTATTTGTTATTTTTAGCGCATTTTCTCATTTATGAAAAAAATGCACTATCCGTGACCTAAAGTTTTCGTCGACGAGAAAATGCGCTCTCTGCACTCACGGCAGTGAGTACTGAGTTATATTTTTCATAAATAATATTTTTCTAATGATGTCGGCCTTACGGGAAAATTCAGTCAACCATGAAGTTGATGTGTATTTTACTTAGCATTACTGGATGCAAAGGAGCCATGATCGTGAGGCAATAAGCTAAACGTGAATATCGTTTATTCAATTTTCAATATAGAGAACAAATGACAATGAACAACCCTTGATATGCTTCCACCAGTCGTACAGAAAAGACACCTGTAATTTAAATCGTATTGTATAATTTAAATACATCACAAATCTGTATATTGTTTCCAGTAGCTATGAATAGATTACAATGTTTTTTAAAACGTTATATATAATTAGTATTCATTGCTAATCAATATTCTGAGAGCATCCTATCTGGCTGCCATCGACGCAAAATGAACGGGCACATCCTGTCATGACATTGACACAGGAGCCGAAATTAAAGCTAACTTTCTCAAAATAGAACAAGGATGTAGCTTGATCTGCATTTTGATAGAATAGTTTCAAAAAAGATAAAGCGATTCTTACCAACAAATATGCACCTGTCATGCTAATTTGCTCTGAGTTTATCATGTTTAAGCCAATTACCTCTCTAAATCGACAATAATGGAAGGTTGTTTGGGAATCGAGTCCCGTCTCGGATTTGATAGAATAGTTTCAAAAAAGATAAAGCGATTCTTAAGGTGCTTGTACACGGGGATAGTGCAGACGGCTAGTAAATCTGGCTAGTGTCGGTCGCTTGGTGACTATCCGGCTAGTGAGCCTGTACACACGAGGAGAGTAAAAGGTGCCGCTATCTTCTCGTTCGCGCCCGCCAGTGAGTCGTTAGAAGCCGTCGAGTGAGGTCTGCGAAGATGGATAGTGTGATCACCTTCAACAACTCGAGTCTGTACGTCTTTTTTATACTCCATATTCTAGCCCTTAAAAATACAGCGTCGGGAACAACTAAACCCTGACTAATAAGGTCTTCTTTCCGTTTCAAAATACTCGTTTCTCTCTTCATTTGTTGGAGTAACCATCATGGAAAACATTATACTTTAATTCATATTTTTGGAATATTTCAAAGAATAATGAATATCGTCTGGAATCCACTTTGTTGGATTCCTCTTAGAAACATTATCGTTCAAACAAGCCATGATTCGCTTGACCCAAGATACTTCACAGGAGCGGCACAGATGCTCTCACCATGGCTGCATCAGCGCTACTAGCCACTTCTCCAATAATCTCCACTCTCCAGCCAAGATATCAACACATCGTTGTCTCTCTCGGCCGCGCCTCGGGCACTTGCCGGCGCATGCCTCTGAAGCGGCTGAACCCCTATACACGAGGCTAGTAGCGTGGACAGTTCAAACGCCGGATGAACTAGCGGCTAGTACTATCCTTGTGTACAGGCACCTTACCAACAAATATGCACCTGCCATGCTAATTTGCTCTGAGTTTATCATGTTTAAGCCAATTACCTCTCTAAATCGACAGTAATGGAAGGTTGTTTGGGAATCGAGTCCCGTCTCGGGAACCTGTGCGCTGCAGCGTAACTATAGACTGCATTCTTGGCCTATTCAACTGATCTTATGAAGTGGAACCGTGAGTTCAACTTACGTCTATCATATTATATTTTACATTGTGGATTTTAACAATCAGATTTATTCTAAAATTTTCAACCTCGTGAGATTTTTCGCAGGGACCGGAAGACAAATTACGCGTGAAGTAGGATGGTTTCGTTGAGATATACTGAGACATTGTTCCCACCATGAGCAGGTTTTCCAAACACGCGATTGCAGACGTTCGCATTGCAACAGGTTACGTTGCGCTCCATCCGCCCCCCGAAACCTTAGAGTTGCAAGATGTTGCGAGAATTTCTTTAATTAGTGATTTCCGCCTTGATCTACATTAAAAAGTTTATCGATAGCTGTGAAGTGTTTGTTGAAACTGGAAATGTGTTTGTTGTGGTTTTATTTGAGAAGCGAATGTGTCTCTGTTGAAACAAACTTGAGACACAGATCAACTCAAAGTTAGTATTACCCATTGGGTAAAAGCTAGGTTGACAAGGTCCTGTTTCAGAAATAGCGTTGTAAAAATACTTTATTTTTCAAAGCCGCTCAAAATAAAACAATTTTCTTCTTAAGAAGATAGCATTTTGTGATTTCATTCACTTCTATTATCATATTGAAAGAACATTATTCCAGTCATTTTTCCACCAGACTTCTCTGCAAAGACCAATTATTTTAATACCGAAGATGCCAAATGCACGAGAAAATTGCCACAATGCGGTTGCCGTTGACCCTGCAATGAGCGGGCAACGCTGAGGTCCGAGACTGCGTCACTCCACCACACAGACTATTGTTTCCAGCCAGGTAGTGTGGGAAGTGCAGTGGTGCAGGCTGGAACTAGAAACTATTAGCTCCTCAGTCGCTGCTGAGTTACGTGTGTTTCCCATGCATTTTAGTCGTCAGAGATAACGTGACTTTATATGACCACTCATCAAGGCTGATTGAGGAGTGCCGGACCTCTAGTGAATCGAATACATCCGGTTGAAAATAAAGCAAACGTTGAACGTGAAGTTTTATCTCTTCTGCTGGGAATCACACGGTGCCCTCAATTTGAACAACTTTCTTTCAAGAAGAAGTTACTAAAAAATTGCGCTTATTATTGTGTAGCGTTAGTTTGATATTAAAGAAAATATTAGTGTAATGATAACAATAGAAAATTAGAAACAAATGTGAAGTTTTAACGCTGACACTAAGTACAAGAAACAATACTTGAACGTTATACAACAGCCCAAATGTCACATAAAAATCAAAACGTAAGTACATAAATCGAAATCGTTCATTAGATTCTGATAGAAGTTTGTATTATATTTGATCTGCAACTGAATGGAGACTGCAACGCAAGTAAGGTAGCCATCCACATAAACTGTCGGGAGATTCAGACTTACGTCGTTAAACGTATAAATAGGTAGCAACGATATCGTAGCTTTTATTCGTATGTACTATGACCATGGCTGAATTCACGAGGGATTATATATTAGTAATTGCAAATATCATGATGATCTAAGAACCCAAAACTATATTTTTCTTTCATGTATAGGGCCTAACTCTTATTTTGTAGCTGATTAGGTCACCTGCCTGGATAGATCATGATTATATGAACCACTTTTTCTAGAATTCCTTCCTGACTATGACTATTGTAATTTCATATTTATATGAATTTCTGACGAAGTAAATAGTAAATGGCAACCATGACTTCATACATAACCTCGAAAGTACTAACGCTTCATTTTATTTATGAACTTATCAACAGTTGTGCTTGAGAAGGCGCTCGTGGATTGTAAATTAACACATGATTTTCTCAAAGATTATGATGATTTTCATCATTTGTACAAGCCAATCTTAAATTACTAGCTGACATGGTCACCCCACAGAGTTTTCCATCGAACTCGTATGCTCATTTTAATAACGGAATATTTTTCGGACAACATGCAGCTGCAACGAATCTCGGTGCCTAAAATATATATGCGCAGAAAAAAACATAATTTTAACAGATAATTTGCATTAGAAACGTTGTTAATACATTTAATTTCCTTCTTTATATTTGTCTTTCGATCAATCAACGTCATCTGAAGAATTGTTCGACCCCGAAAACTTAAATCGACAAATTCTCTGTCACTAATCGCAAGTTTTTACGAAGCTAAATCTACCGTCTAATTCTATATAGTATAGAAGTATATACTTTTTGGGCACTTTTTCCCCGTTAAACATAATTAAAACATCATTCAATGCCTTATGGCATATTCTTCTTGAAAAAGAATAGATTAATATACAACATTTTCTGAAGCTGCAAATGACTGCGCGATGTGACTGCATCTACGAGTTATATAGTCAGATGGGGTAAGACAGGACCAAAATTACTAACAGGCATGTAGCATCTATACCATGAATAACTAAAAAATCCTAAACTTATCACAAGGTGTGGTTATGCAGTGGGCTTCAAAGCTACAACTCAGACTTTCTGCATACAACACAGTTTTCTGTACAGATTAAAAAAAGTGAGCTGGTCCCATCTTACCCCATTGGGGTAAGATGGGATCAGGCTGGGGTAAGAAAGGACCAACAGGTAATTCTTATGTTACAAGGTTTTTAGTAGATATATAAAAATCTGATATTCAATATTATCCATCTAGAAACACATTATTTGATTAAACAATCACTTGTTACTGTTTTGTGTTGCAGGAAGTCAACTCTAATATCAGTCACATTGGAGTTTTTGCCACAAGAAAACTTTGTTAAGCATAGAAATAGTAGGTTGGTTTTGATTCATTGTAGAGCACTGCTAAATGCTACATGTATATTCCCTTTGTGTCATTGTCTGAAAATTTATGAAATTGGTAATAAAACCAATAGATAATAACTTAAGAGTCGGACGTCATGCGTTTTCTTGCTAACTGCATTTGTGGTGCACTTCTTCAAACATAGCCCATGCCCTCTCACAAAATTGTGATAATAGTCACTAATCGCAAGTTTTTACGAAGCTAAATCTACCGTCTAATTCTATATAGTATAGAAGTATATACTTTTTGGGCACTTTTTCCCCGTTAAACATAATTAAAACATCGTTCAATGCCTTATGGCATATTCTTCTTAGAAAAAGAATAGATTAATATACAACATTTTCTGAAGCTGCAATTGCCCGGAAATGGCAGCGCGATGTGACTGCATCTACGAGTTACCTACTTACACGTTGGGTCAAGTGTCGTAAAAGTTGATTTTCAGGATTTCCATGGTCATGAACTTGCTTCTAAATGTCTTTAATTTCATAAACACTTGACATTAGGGTTAAATCACATCTATTTTGCATTAAATTTCGGAGTTAACGTAACGTAATCCCACAATTATAATTCACCCTTCGCCTTAAAATGTATAGAAATTATATCAAAACTCGGTTTCACCATAAACGTTAGCTCGAATCTCACGTTCATTCTTCTATTAATATGTCATCATGGCAGAGTGTAAAATGACTGATTCCCTCAAAAGCAAAGCATGAACAGTCGTTTACGTCAAAAAATTCGAGGCATTCCTGGCTACCCACATCGGTTGGCGATACATGTTTGGGTTTGGTACATATGTTGGGTATGGTGTGTTTGGGCATGGTATATGTTGGGTAAATAGTATGTTGGGTATGGTATGTTTGGGTATGGCGATTGAGAAATTCGTTTCGCAAAGTATGTCCATAATGAATAATGTTCTCTGCTCTATCCCGCTTCGAAAAATTGTGTTCCAATTTTTCTCCTTGTCCAAAATGCCGAGAATCATTCCATTTACAGTGTCTTTCAAAATAATTTGAACATAATTTCTGTACGTATGGATATTCTATGGATCATTTGACAGCAATAGTGATAAAGTATTCTTATTATTTAAATTGGTAATGTTTGAAAGGTGGCGTTTAGTTCCTTATTTATTACACTAAAATATAGAGTGCTTTGAAAAGTGTTATTGCAAATAAATAACAGTTGAATTACGAAAAACATAAACGCATGTTTTCTCCGAACAGTTCTTCATCCTGTTAAATTCTTTGCACGCTACACATCATCACATGCTACATTGAAGCATTATTTGATTCAATGATAATCTTGTGACACCAAATGTTGCGAAAGAATAATTCTTCTTAAATATCTTTACAGCGAATCATTTGAACATGAACTGAATTCACAAAATTGTTTAGTTTGGCGAATAGCATCTTTGCAGGCATGGTCTAGCACATACATGTACATACAAAGCGTATACGTGGCCCACCTGTTCTAGAGGTGCAATTGTCTGTCTGACCTGATCAAACTTTACACGTTCAACACTTTCAGGATTAAAATGTAAAAAATAGATGAAACATATCATATGAATGTAAAAACGTATGAACAATGTTTTTTTTTTGTTATCATGATGGAAATATTAAATCAGAACTCTGCAGTCAAACATCCGACGAATCGGAGTTTAGCAAGTTGCAACCTAGAATTTGCAAATTAATAACTACTGAAAATAATGTGATATATATGTCCTCTCTAACTATTATTACATACATGAAATAATTCCAATTTCATAGTGCACTTTATAACTATATTAAACGTGATACGTTTTCCATTTCAATAAATCAAAATCGTCTCGTTAGAACCATGCAATAGTTCCAATTTCTTCGTGCATTTTATAACTAAATTAAACGTGATACTTTTCCACTTCATAAATCAAAATCGAATCGTTAGAGCCATGAAATAGTTCTAATTTCATAGTGCATTTTATAACTAAATTAAAACGTGATACGTTTTCCACTGCAATAAATCAAAATCGTACTGTTGGGACCTTCAGCATGAGCGGGCAGATTGAGGCGCATAATCACTTCAAGGCACCACAAATGCAGGACTGTGAAAGTGAAAGCATTGACGGGACACAAGGACCGCAAAAACCTTATACAAGTGCAGAACGTTCGCCGACCTTCTTGCTGGAGTTCATTGTGCATGGCACGGCCACACTTGATTTCCTAGCAGGTCATATCAATTACCATGTAAATTATGAATCAGTTGTTGACAGAGACATTAAAGCACATGATTACATTCTTCATCACGACGCAATTATCATTAAGGGTTTTAAATAATTCATGATGCTGTTAGAACTAATTGCATTTCCCATTTTCCACTGTGTTGTGTAGCTCTCGCCAGCAACAATCTCTCATCAAAGATACCGCTACCAAATTCAATTATTAGATTTCTAATACGTATATGCGCATGGAATATTAAGCATAAATAAGGAAACTCTTTTTTTTAATTATAAATAATTGGATGAACACACCCATTAGGCTTAAAGCGAAAGAAACTTTATAACATTTACGTTCAGGAAACTCTCCATAAAAATATATCCAGGATCGCAGGATGAACAAGGACCTCTATAATAGTTGCCTATTTCTTGTAAAGACAAGAAAGTATAAATCGCTCGACTGCAGTGTCTTGGTAGGCAGAATTGAAATTTAATAGTTTTATATTTTCTGGTTCTTGGAAGTCTCGATCTTCCAAGGGCCATAATTAAATAATATAATGTCATTTATGATGGCGTCCTCACGAACTTGACACCTGTAGATTAAGACATTAGCGTTTTACTAGTATTATTCTCACGGAAAACCTACAAGCATTGTAATCGCCCATGAGTGCGCAGGTAGTTCTCCCCGTCCTCGTAAGTGTCTGTAATATACATCTGTATATGATATAGGTAGTACAATGCGTGGATAGTTCCACTCAATGGCATCATTGCAAGTACAATGCGTGGATCTTTCCACTCCATGTCGTCATCGCAATTGCAAGTCCATTGCGTGGATCATTCCACTCCATGGCGTCACAACAAGTACAATGCGTAGATCGTTCCATTCCATGTCGTCACAATTACAATGCGTAGATCGTTTCCATTTCGATGAAATCATCGCAAGTAAAACAAGTACGTCCATCATGGCGCACCTCCATTAAAATGTGTGGGTGCAGCCATAGCGTTTTTTTTCGGCTCGTAACATTTCTTAGAACTCGACGAGCTGAGTAACTCGGTCCGGATACGACGAACTGCCAAAGATTTCCGTGTATGAGAGCTGCTCAGCGTTATAGCAGCGGTTCCTGAGTGAAATTATGACGGTTGTGTAGGCGGTACAAATAAGTTTTTAAATCCATACAAAAGAAAGACTTGAATAGTGATGCTGTAATTGATTCCTCTTTAACGAAGACATTCGTTTTATTATTTAATTCCCAAAACTTGGCCTTGATTGTCTCTCTGGCCGGAAAGG